TATTATAATATAATATATAATATATTATAATATGAATGGGGAGAACATGTGTTCCGACTTTCCCTCATTTTTATTATTCCCAACTAGGTGAAAACTACAGTAATAGGGAACGTCAAGCACCATCACCGCTTTACATGATTATCAAACGCCCCCTTAGGGATTGAGTTCCATATCTGTAAAGGAGCCGATCCCTTAAACGATGGGATCGTGTTGGAATCGAGGTTCCTGAAGTGAAATGATTCATTGTATTGGAATCGGGGAGTTAGTTCCATTTAACAATATTGAACTTCGATTTGGTCTTAAAATTTTTTAATTTCATAATGTTGTGATAGATTGTTTCAAAAAACATTTCAGGAGACAATTAATTTCTCCTTTAGCAAAACAACAAAAATGGTACGACATTCCCAAATAAATTCCCAATAGCTCACCTCCATCAAAGATTACTAAGAGCTCAATGACATATACACGAGAGAGACCTCAAATTTTCCAAGGATACATATTATTCCACCCCCTACAAGGTGACCCTGTATATGAAGCGATTTGGTAAACCAACAATCAAATAGTAGAAGCCTGTCAAGAGGTGGAAAAGTCCTAATGAACTAGCCTCAAGGAAGTTCAGCGTATTTCTCATGCCCGAATTCCTCAATAGAACTGCAACATGACTATCCTTTATATCACATCCCAACTTCTTTCTTCTCTCTCCATGCCCTCTTTTGTTGCCTTTCTTTAAAACTAAACTAAAGTCAAAATTCAAAGGTGGTGTAAAGTTGTAAACTGTAAAATATATACGAAATCATGGCATTAAGATAGTTTGGTCACAAAAAAATGGAGATCCACACTCCATGATAATTTGGCTCCTTTCTCTTCTTCAAGAGATGGGTGTTAATGTATCAACGCCTATTCCTCTATATTGTGATAATTAAGCGGCAAATTATATTGCCTCGAATCCTATAATTTATGAAAGAACCAAGCATATTGAGGTCGACTGCCACTTAGTCAGAGAAAAGGTCGCTTCAAAGATAATATGTACTCCATTTGTTCGCTCCAAGAATCAATTGGTAGACATACTTACCAAGGCCTCTAATCGACTTTGATCAAGATACTTTGGACAAGCTGGGCATCTATGATATATATCCTCCAACTAGAGGGGGAGTGTAAAATTTGTTATGGGCTCATGCCCATTAAAACCTGTGTAACAGTTGTAAGTTCTACGCATAATGGGCCTCAAGTAGCAGTTGTTATGGGCTAATGCCTAAAAAAACATGCAACTCCTATGAATAATGGACCTCATGCCCATTAGAACATGCTATAACAGTTATTGTAACTCTTGTTGTAATTCTTTTGCATGTTTTCCTACCCATACTATAACCCCCAAGGAATATGTGCATACATAGGGCACATTACCCTATGATTTGTAGTGTGTGAAAAACAGATGTATTTACTTTATCTTGTGCCTGAATTTTACTATTCACCTCTCTCTTCTCTCTCAATCTTAACACATAACAAAAAAGAGGAACATACTCAATTAGAAGAGTCTAAATGTCATTGTTCTAGTTTAGTACGATCAAAAGCTGAAGGAGTAACATATCGATCACAATAAAGTGACCCCATTGCTCTGAAACATATAGATGAAACCTATAAGTGATTGATTGAGGAAAACACCGGGAATGAACCAGTATCACCAAGAGAGAGCTTGACATGGAACCAAGTTCGTGAGGTAGCTGCAGCCGCATCAAGCACTGGAAAAGGCAGTAGACCTCAATCTAAAAGGAACAGAAAGAGGCTGAGGAGAGTAAGAGAGGGCGATGAGAAGGCAGCAAACTTAGAGACAAGGGATAATCAAATTCAGTTGCATATAGTGGCGGTCATAGAGATGGAGATAATGTTGTTAGTGATGATGAAACTCAACCCAACTACTGGGTACATTAAATTTGTGGTCTTGTTTTGAGTTTTGAGTTCATTAAATTTGTGGTCTTGTTTTGAGTTTGTTTTAGGTCCTTTGAGTTTTAACTTTTGTGCGTTGCAAGTTGTGACTTTGTTTAATTGTATAGGATGACTGATGTGGATTGTGGAGTATTGATGCACTTGGTAATCCTTCGACTGATAAATAAAGTTCCCATGAGTCCATCCTTTGATGACCCTTTTTTTAATGATCCACATCTCAACGTCGCAAGGAGATCTAGGAGCAGACGACCGCCTTTTGGAAAAAGTTTATTTTTAGTTTATTGTTGTTTTTGCAATTTTCTAGTTACTTCTAGTGTTTTTATTAAGGTTAAGGGGCGTTTAGGGATCGTTTATATTTTATTTGAAGTGAAGGGACTTATGAGGTATCTTTATAATATTTTAACTTACATGGGGGTAGTTCTGGTCCTTTTTATTATGATGAAATAAAACAACCTGGGCCGTTAGGGTTTCTAACACTTTTGGGGTCACGTTTTTGTGCAAGGAAAGCCATATCTACTCAAATTTGGCCTGTTTTGAGGGTTATTGAACTATTTTTGGACTCTCTTCTCTATTTTCCTGCATCAAATTGGTATCAAAGCAAGGTTTTTTTCAACAACAAAGCTAGGGATCTACAACAAGCCCAGGATTTGCTGAATTTGGACCAAGTTTCGCCAAATCAGCCTAGAATTTGCTGGTGCAGCTCAGTTTCGTTGGTTCTCTGCTTAGGGTTTGTGAATTTAGTGATGGTAGCAAGAAAAGGTCGAGGAAAGGGTATTCATATGGATCCATCTCGTAATGAGCAAGACTAGGAGATAACAGTATCTGAGAAATCAAGTTCAAGAACTTACAAGGCGGCTTGCAGGCATCAATCGTGGGCGAGATGAAAATTTGTCCGTCCAAGATGATGGTTGAGTACAACCCTTTTCACTATTGTGCTCCGTGAGATGAGTCGAGCGAAGAGGAATATGACTGAAGGTATGAGCGTTGGAATTATGTCCTTTCAAGGCCTTAAAATTCCAACATTTTCAAATGGCTCTTGACTTCAAGGGGAGTATACGAACAATATGACTCTAAGATCTTGGCACACTGGTACCAAGAGTCATGGAACCCTGATTATGTCATGAGGACGATTCATATACAGGAGGTACTGAGAGGGTTGAGGGCTACCTCTTAATTTGGGTCGGTTGTTATGTATGTGCCTCATGACTGAGTGATGGGTCAAGGCAATACGATTTATGTATGAGCTGGATGACTAAAACCTGTATGGGAAGGTTACGGTCAATAGAGGACAATGGCCTAAATCCTTGACTTCTAGAAATCTTCTCATGGCATGTGCATATACAATTACAATGCATAGGAATCCACTCTTCTAGGGATCCATTAGATAGAGTTGTGCACATGTGCCAATATAGGAACCCCAACACCTTGAGTGTGCATGTTTTCTAAATGGTGCACCTGAAATGCACATATGCTTGGAGATCATGAGCCCTTCATTATAGGTTGGTCATGAGTCTGTTCGGTCATACTGAGAAGGTAGTTTTGGATTCCGTGTCTAGCCGAGTGGAGTACATGTTTTTATGGATTTTTTCTAAGCAAGAAAATCCATTTTTCAAAATTGTTTGGATCAAATGACAAACAAGGACAGAACCCAAGACCCACAAGGGACCTCCAAATGGCCAATGAGTGTCCACGCCCCCCCCCCCCCACCAAAAAAAAAAAAATGGAAATGACCTATGGGTGATGTCACCCCCTTATGAGAACCCCCATGTCCATTGTATTGTTGTTTATTTATTAAAGGCATTGTACAATGCCATTTAGCAAAATATTAAGTTTTTCCAAAATTAATTTTGGTACATGTTTAATGTCTAAAGCAAGTGGTTTATGCACATGTGTGGAGGATTCTAGAAGGGGTATAAGGTTTGTAATTACAAGCTTTGTAATTACAAGCCTAACCT